TTTTTTAAGTGCTTACTTCTTCTTTGAGAAAAGTAAAAATTTGTGAATACATCCATTTTTGAATGACTTGTTGAGACATGAAATGGATCATGTGACGTGAGTTCAAGTTGATAATTTTTGACCATTCCGAGAGAAGAGCTTTGGCTATGCTCTGTCAACGGGCCGTACCAAGGACACTATGCGCGACATTTCGAATTGTAATTCGTTCACTAGAAATCCATCAGGTCGAAATTTCTCATACCATAAAACCCATCTCTCTCTCAACAAGTCATCTAAAAATGGATGTATTCACATATTTTTACTTTTCTCAAGAAGAAGTAAGCGCTTAAAAAAATTATCCTGTGTTGCGGTCGATTCTCATAAGTTAAAATAATATAAAAAAATTTATTTCAATACGGGCGAAACTTTTCTCGTCGACTAATAGATCTCATGAGAAATCACTTTCATTTACATGGTAAAAATGGTATTCAATGGTTGAATTTGAGCCGTCCTTTTCTTCGGTATCTCAAGTATTGTGCATCCCGAGATATGATTATATAGCCCATTTTCAGATCAATATGCAAGTAAGGACATCGTGAGCTCTCTGGAACTACTGCAAGTGAAGATCATATTCGAGGCCTTGAAAAGATCCAGTTGAGTCATATCTTTCATTTTGCCATTGCACTTCTTGAAGCAGAGGTAGATTGCTGAGAATAGGTGGCCATCAAGCAAGATGGTGGGCTGCACCTGTAGCTATGAGTCTTGCCGTTTGTAGAGCGGCCAGCAACGGCATCTATTATTTTGTTGCTATTGTTGTTCAAGGTCTGAAGAGAATGTACTTTGAGTTTGATCGTATTTTGATAGGTTTTCATGACGTCGCTTGCTTCGTATTTTAGCAAGCTTTGTCGCAAACTATTTTCGGAGCTACTAAAGTTTCACGTACAACATAGACGTCTGGATGTCGCCAAGAGCCTTTTTTCATTTCTGTCTGATTGTCAAAAACGAAGATACTTCCCGTATATTCTTGAGACTTGATAAAAAATCACTTTCCCTTCTGTACCTGGCGAAGTATATGATTGTACTTATGTTTAAACGTGTGCAGTCAATAGCTGGAAACCATGAAACTATAAATATTTATTCGTTCATAGCTTCTTCAATAGTCACCGACGGAGTCAAAGCCATGCACTGGCAGATAGTTGCTCAAAGTCTGCCAGAACATATCTAAAATATAATTATCAGCCTTGTCAAGCATGTGCTCCTTCGCACTATGTCACTTAAGAGTAAGACGAAATCCAGCGATGTATGTTTGATATGGGATACGGTATAAGTTATATCTAGCTGTCTGTCACCGCCGCTTTCGTTGACTAGTTTTTTGAGTTGATTTCGTTGTAGAAATTGATCGCCTGAGTTATGTATTCGAGAAAAAATTACTTGCATAACGCGTTCTTCTCGCCTTCTTTCCCATCACGATACACGGGAATGAATGGTTCTTCAAGAGGCTTCTGCTCGGATTCGAATAGTCGAACCAGCATCTGATCCGACGTCATATTTTGAACTCGAACTCGACTCTACCCTAACAGAAAATCTTATTTCTTATTTAAGTTAATTAGTTGTTTTGCGTATGGGTATGTTTGAGGGCCAGAGTTGTAACCAATAACCGTAAAAGGCCACTCAAGACCGGTCCGATGCGATCCACTAGAAGACTTCTTACCGATCAGTCGAAATAACATTTTTTTAAAGGTCGATTCTGACTCTTGTTTTGCTTTTTCCATATTTTTTGCAAAAAATTGATCGTAAAAGTGCTTTTTTCACAAATCTAACCATTTTTACTAGTGCCCATGTAAAAATAAATCAAGAAAAAACGGGATTTTAATCGATTTTTTTGTGATTAAAAATCGATTAAAATGAGACGATTTTAATCAGATTCCTTGATTTTTAATCAATTTTAATCGCGTTAACGAAAAACTGCGTTTTTCTCGAGTTCTAACACAGAAATCATAGCTTTTTATTGCTTTTTCTGACTCCTCGCGTCGACAAATAGTAGGTACAGCATCAAACCAACCTCGGTCAGACATCCCTGACTTCGCGAGATGACAACGATCTGTGCTTACGCATTCTTTGGTTATCGTGATTAAAAAGGATTAAAAATTAAATAATCAATTAAAATCCATTAAAACAAAAATAATCAATTATAATCGATAAAAACTGATTAAAATCAAAAATAATCGAATAAAAGGCAAGAGATCTGATTAAAATCGATTAAAATTCATTAAAAATCAAGGAATCTGATTAAAATCTGATTAAAATCGTCTCATTTTAATCGATTTTTAATCACAAAAAAATCGATTAAAATCCCGTTTTTTCTTGATTTATTTTTACATGGGTGTCGAAAACCATTTCTGTGGGGGAACGTACATCTGACTATTCTATGAAGTAAAAATTCATCATAGTATATCTAATATATTTTATCCACTCACTTTGATATCTAGTTATGTTATTGAAACAAATTTCAATAATAACTCGGTATTGTAATGTACCATAGGTTTATATGTATTTCCTACAATTTACCGCATATATTTCGCACAAGCATAAGGGATAACAAAGCAAATATAACGTAAAAGCTAGACTAAGTCAATGTTTAATTAATAATATCCATGTCTTACGGACATTTAATTAGTGCAAAAAACTAATAAATAATTTGTAGTATGA